GCCTTCCCGGCTTGGCGCCTTCTTTTGATAATTATTTTATTTCATGGTAATTGTTGCTATAAAAAGTGAGCAATATGAAGCCTTGCTGTTGTTGCCCCGACCAGTGAGAATCTTTGTGGTTTATGAAGATGTATTGATCGTCTCTCCAGCACAGCCAGACCGTCCTAGTCCCGGGTCAGCGGGCTGTCACCACAGGTGGTGCGTGTCTCCAGCACAGCCAGACCGTCCTAGTCCCGGGTCAGCGGGCTGTCACCACAGGTGGTGCGTGTCTCCAGCACAGCCAGACCGTCCTAGTCCCGGGTCAGCGGGCTGTCACCACAGGTGGTGCGTGTCTCCAGCACAGCCAGACCGTCCTAGTCCCGGGTCAGCGGGCTGTCACCACAGGTGGTGCGTGTCTCCAGCACAGCCAGACCGTCCTAGTCCCGGGTCAGCGGGCTGTCACCACAGGTGGTGCGTGTCTCCAGCACAGCCAGACCGTCCTAGTCCCGGGTCAGCGGGCTGTCACCACACGTGGTGCGTGTCTCCAGCACAGCCAGACCGTCCTAGTCCCGGGTCAGCGGGCTGTCACCACACGTGGTGCGTGTCTCCAGCACAGCCAGACCGTCCTAGTCCCGGGTCAGCGGGCTGTCACCACAGGTGGTGCGTGTCTCCACAGCCAGACCGTCCTAGTCCCGGGTCAGCGGGCTGTCACCACAGGTGGTGCGTGTCTCCACAGCCAGACCGTCCTAGTCCCAGGTCAGCGGGCTGTCACCACAGGTGGTGCGTGTCCTCCAGGTCACCCCCCCCCCCCGCCCCTGGCCACGTCATCTGACCTTCGCCTCGCAGCATAAAGTTACCAAATTGTTGCTCAAGTTTCTTAAAGCGCCTCGTATTTCACCCGTCAACAGTTTGTACCACCATACGCGCGCCACCATACCGCAGCCATGTTGCAGCTATGTTGCAGCTATGTTGCAGCCACGGCGGAGGCCGCAGTCCACCTCTTGCCTTAATTACAATTACATTAGAAGCTTTAATGCACTTTTAATCAAGTCCAAACGCAATGCCACAAAAATCTAATCTTCAATGTTCTGCGTATAATCTACAAGCTTTAATAGCCTAAGTGAACTCCATGAATCAATTTATAATAAAAAGGAAGCTTTAATGTGTAAACCAGAACCATTTTAGATCCATCAAGTAGAGTTACCTCGGTCAGCTGCCCCGGGCACCAGGGAGGCGGCTCACCACCACTAGTTAACTGCTCAGTGTAAGGCGGCTTTTTCTTTACTAGTTAACTCTGGCACCAAGTGGTTCATGGTGGAGATGGTGCCCACCAGGTGCTGAGGCTCGGCGACACACGCACGCACATATGGAGGCTGACTCCATACACAGTTTAAAATGTAGATATAATAGAGCCTAGTACCGCGTGCGTGCGTGCAACTAGGTGAGTACACAGGGGGAATGAAACATCGCCATCTGGAGCACTCGCTCCAGTGCCTAGATGGGGTATCCGGCCATGCCCGGGTATCTTACCCCCCCCCCCACACACACACATATAATAAGTTAAAAACAGGCAGAAAAACCTTGCGTTAGTCGCATAAGTCAAGAGAGCAGCGTACTACCCAATCAGGGAAAAGTCGTCAAATTCTTGTGGATCGCCTCCCATGTTGGATCTGTGGAAAATGAACGAGCAGACGTGCTGGCTGCTGAAGGCGACCATATTGACTACTTCATACCCAAGACTTATACAAATTATAGGCATTATCAGGCAACTTCACCGTGACAAGGTAACTGAGGAAAGAAGGGTTGAAGCACAAATCAGTGAATCTGTACACTGATAAAACATGGTTGCAGCTGGCAATCCCAATCATTATGGAGGAAGAAGAGGTGCCCGCGGGAGTGAATCAATCATAGCGAGAATCCGTCTTGGATACAAATATCCATGGAGATTCGGAATGGAAACAACAGTTGAGCAGCGGAGTTACAGAATCTGTGGTGAGTGATGGACACCGCCTTGATCACTACCTAATGTGAACATTGAGAAACATTAGAAATGTGTAGAATAATAAACCCCGCATTGTTTGAGTTGGAAAATACTATGTCAAATGTAGATACTGTTCTTAAATAATTTCCTCCATTTTGCATCCGGAATTTAACGTAAATTTTAGGGATTAGCAAATGTTGATCATCTTGTTTCATAAGTTGTTCACTCGAGACGTGAGCAAGACATGAGCACTTGCACCCAGCTGTGTCTGGGTACAAGTGACAGGATGAACAACCCAGCGGGTTTTCTTCCTATTAGGGAGTTATATACATGCTTCAATGGCAGTGTGTTCACTCACATGATTAGTGGCGCTGCCCAATAAACTCTTCCTTCGGGCTAAAATGATATTAAATAACAAAAAAAAAGAGTTTCTTATTCATATTTAGGTACATCTCCATTTCTTAAAAAGCACTGAAAAAAACGCTAAAACTTTTACAGAAAACACATTCCTGCGTTCAGACTTCAATAAAATCGCACGCGAGGGGGGGGGGGTCCATGAAGTGTGAACGCAGTAATGTATTTTCTGTAGAAGTTTTAGCGTTTTTTTTCAGTGAAGGTTACTATAGATGCTGATATTTCTTAAAGGGTGACACTGGGTCCGACTTCAACTGGCCTATAAGACAACGCACACCCTATCTAATCTAGCTCATTTGGTTACTCAGTTTCCACTGTGCTCCCTTGTTCGTGTTCCACCCATGCTAAATAGGTTGTCATGTAAATCCTGTCAATTCCTCTAAGAATTTTGTAGTGGTGATCATGTCTCCCCTTATTCTTCTGTCTTCCAGGGACGTGAGGTTTAGCTCCCGTAGCCTTTCCTCGTAACTCATACCTCTCAGTTCCTAGGACTAGTCTAGTGGAATACCTCTGAATCTATTCTAACTTTGTCTTGTGTTTAACTAGGTATGGACTCCAGGTTGAAGCTGCATACTCCAGGATTGGTCTGGCAAAAGTAGTATACAAGGTTGTGAACGATTCCTTACACAAGTTTCTAAAGGCAGTTCTCATGTTGGCCAATCTAGCCGCTGATATCCTTCTGATGTGGGGCCCCTGGGGACAGGATCGGCGTGACATGAACCCCCAGATCTTTCTATTTGACTTAGAGGATTTCACCTCCCAGATAGTACCTTGTGTTGAGCCTCCTGCTCCCTTCCCCCGGGGTGGTCATCTCTGAGCACCGGCCTGCTCAAGACCCATCAACTCGTCCAGCACACCAACACAACCCACCAATACGCCAACCTGCACGGGCGACAACCGGGTACTCGTGGGGGACACAACCGGGTACTCGTGGGGGACACAACCGGGTGGAGAGAGCGGTGGCTGTACGGATGGTGTAGGAAATTGTATTTGTAAGAGAATGGAAGAAAAGGTTCGGGGAAGGAGGAAGTGCTGAAGATGGTTAGTGGGAGTGGTGGGGGGGGGGGGGGAGGGTGTAGGTGGCGCGATGGTTAAAGGTGAAGGGTGAGAAGGTAAGGGGGACCATGACCAAAAGGTCACATTCACTCCAAAAAATCTACCACTTACAGGCTATTAATGCCCGTGCCAGCTCTTGGGTGGCTTAATGTTAACCCATCAATCTATCGGTTGGGAAGAGGGAGGGGAGGAATATGAAGTACACCACCAACACCCAGGCGACACACACACCACCACAGTACACCATCACCACCCAGGCGACACACACACACATCACCAACACCCAGGCGACACACACACCACCACAGTACACCATCACCACCCAGGCGACACACACACCACCACAGTACACCATCACCACCCAGGCGACACACACACACATCACCAACACCCAGGCGACACACACACCACCACAGTTCACCACCAACACCCAGGCGACACACACACCACCACAGTTCACCACCAACACCCAGACTACACACACACCACCAGGAACAACTCAAACTGATGGACAATTTGTGAAAGACCTGCTAAGAAAAGGTCAAGTAAATGTGGAAGGTGTGCTCCCGCCGCCCCCAGTGCTGCCGCAGCTGCCGACGACGACAATGATGATGTTGCCGTCAACGACGACGAGGCTGACGACGACGATGATGGCGCGTCATCACAATACACAGTGTGGGAGGCCAGAGTGGATTGCTATAGTGTTATCAGAATCCGTGCACTAAACCCTCCCCCCCCCATGCTTGCTCTGGTGGCCGCTCTCCCTCGCCAGCTTGCTACAGACCCACACCGTCTGGGTGGACGTCGATTCAAAATATGTTTTCTCTACTGAGATGACTAAGCCCCTGGAAACACAAACCGAAACTGTCTCTATTTTCTGCTTATTACAACTTGTAATAAAGCTGTTAAATCTTGGCTTAACGTGTTTATGACGTATTAGAACGTTGTTACAACTTGCTATATTGGTTGTTATAACTGGTTAGGAGGTGTTAAAACTTGTTCGAACGTTGTACCAACGTCGTAGTTTCGGAGTGTGTTTGGCGGGAGCCTACTTCCTGACATGTGCTTAATACAGAGTAATGAACATTGTGGGGGTTGATGTACCCACCAATATGGATCAATATATCATCCGCATAACTAATGATGTTCGCTGGGCCTCCTAGTCACTGAGCTTAGGAGCACATTAACATGTTGAACACTAGGACTGACGACGCCTCCATGTGGAGTGCCCAGTTCGAAATCTTTCGCAACACTCCTATGCCCTTGGACGACTTCCTGTTGGACAGATAGCCTCTTTCCCATCGTAGAAGTCATCTCCCACCTTCAATTTAGCCAGTTCACTCAGAATAACGTGTCGGTTAGCAATGTCAGAAGCGACACTAGACTTCTACGATGTTACACAGCGCAGCTTCTGGTGTTTGGCGGCTGGAACGTCCTCACAAAGCAACATCCACGGAGAATATGATACTATTTCAGAGGAATAACTGATAATATAGACAAGGGATTTTAAGTCATTAGTGCATAATGGTGGAAGGTTGAGAATGAGGGAGGAGGAGGAGGTAGTACTCACTTGAGGGCATGGTGCAGCTTGCTGGCGCGAGTGAGGAACTCCTCCCACATGGGGCCGCTTCC